TTTTTTTTTTTTTAAAAGAACCTCATTTGCCATATTCAGGCTACCACAATAAAAATTTAAACATTACTCTGAGTCTCCTTTTATGGGTGAAAAATCTCATTATGGCTCTAAATTTCGAATTTATGACAAGCAATTATCATAACAAATGGTTTCAGACATTTTTGGCTTTCCCAGAGATTGAAAGGTGAAAATGCTCATTTCTCTTGATGGCAACAAAGCATTTCTTATTACTATCACAACTATGATTAACACTGTGTGATGGATTTTTTATAAATCATGTTATCTTAAAAATTAAATAAACATTACCATAATAAAAGAGGGAAATACTCTTTTGGTGTGGTATTTCCAAAGACAAATAAATTAGTCAATTCAAAATGCAGTTTTTCCTTAAGGTATTTTTGTCTGCCAATCTTTAGAATGGCTCCTTTCCTTAGGAACTCCCGGCCACTTTCTCAGTACAAGTCAGTCAGTCAACTGGATGGAGCACCTAATGGCTACCGTTGTCAAGTAACATAAGAGAAGGCCAGGTGTCGTGGCTCCCACCTATAATCCTAAGCACTGTGGCAGGCAGAGGTGGGTGGACTGCCTGAGCTCAGGAGTTCCAGACCAGCCTGAGTTGGGTGTTGTGGTGGGCACCTGTGGTCCCAGCTACTTGGGAGGCTGAGGCAAGAGAATCACTTGAGCCCCAAATTTTGAGGTTGCTGTGAGCTGTGACACCACAGCACTCGACCGAGGGTGACAAAGTAAGACTGTCTCCAAACAAACAAACAAACAAACAAGTTTAACATAAGAGAAAAGCAAAACAAACAAATAGGAGACAGGCTCCCCCAGGCTCGAGAGGTGTACAAATGAGCTGAGAAGGTCACTCACCTGAAATGGTTAAAGTACACTTCCACAGAGTAACAATATGTCCAAGCAAAAACATTATGCCTGATTATCCAGAGACATTAACCCATGCAAAATATGGCTCTCGACCACAATTTTTTTTTGTCTTTGTTCTTGCTATCCCCTTTGCCTAGAATGCCTTTCCCCTCCATCTTCACCTGAGGAAATTCTCCTTCTCACTTGAGGTCCATTTCTAAGCCTCCCACTTCCCGAAGCCCAGGCATCCTCGTCTTGGCTTGTCTGTTGTACTGGTGACGGTAGCCTAGCCAACTCTCCTGCCTAGAATTTCATGAGTCATACTTCTTCCATCTCTCTGATCACTTCTCCTCTGTCTCCTTTGATGACTGTTCTTCTCCTGCCCTTTTCCTAATGATGCCTTGAGGGTTGTTAGGGAATTCAGATTCTGTGGTCCTGATTGTGTGGACTCATGTGAGCCCTTCACTGCTTTATCTCCAAGTCATGACTCCTTCCTTGAGTCCCAACTCCATATCTCAAGCTGATTCCTGGACATATCCACTTATATGTCTCTACCATGTCAAACTCAATAAGCCAAAGACTTATCTTCACCCCATCCTCTATTTTCTCAAAGTCAGAGCTTACTGTGTCTTCTGAGCTTCTAGGGCTCTAAAATGGTAACATCTTCTTTGAGTCAGCCTCTTCTTTTTCACACACATCTAGTGAGATAGATCCAAGCTTAAGGCTGTCGTCTCTGCTCTAGGGCCTGGAGTTTCTTGGGCTCCCATTTGCCTGCATTACTTAATTTATCTCTGAATGGGGCTTACATAGATATTTAACCATTTCCTGTAGGCTAAAAGGAATGAAGTCCTGTTGTTCTTCACTTCAAATGGTTCTCATTTTCTCTTCCTATGCTTCCACTCCTTCCCTCATTGGTTCTCCTCATCTCCTCTCACCTAGGTTAGAGCAGTAACTCCTTAACTACCTGCGCTTCAACATAGCTACTTGCCCATCCTGTCCTAGGGCTTACGCACACAAAGAGTGCTCCTCCTCTTCTAAGAGGGAGGTCATTCATTCTACCAAGAAACCTTCCCAGATCTTCCAATCCACACAGAAGACTCTCTTCTCTGAGAGGGAAAGTTGAGTCTAGTGGGGAAAGTGGACTTTAGAGCTAGACATATCGATGTTGGAGTCCCTGTGATGTCATTTACTATCCGTACAGCCTCCATCTCTCTAAGCCTCAGTCTCCTCATCTATAAAACAGGGGAAATAATTTTCACCTTGCGTTGCTGTTATGAGGATTAAATAAGATCATGTATATAATGTATCTGGCCCATGGGAACTCCTATTATTACCATGGAGATCTTGAGTCTCTTCCAAAGCTGATCCATTACACAACCCCAGGGCCATCTCTGTGAATACGGCCCCTTCCAGTTTTGAAATGGTCAACTTGCCCATAGTCTAGTCAAGTCTAACGTGTCTAGTATCAACTGTTTCCTAAATTGCTTGTATCCAGAGTTGAATAATCTGAAAGCTTCTGAAGAGAGGATGGGGGAGGGACATGCTAGCTCACTTGGACACAGTCTCATACACTGTTACTGCTGGAGCTCCACTGCTCACCACCATCACTATTCCCACTCCTGCCTCTATTGTGTTGGGTAGATGACTTGCACTTTTGCAGTTTTTGGCCAGGGCTGGGTTTGAACCCTCCACCTTCAGCACATGGGGCCAGGGCCCTACTCCTTTGAGTCACAGGCGCCTCCAGGACACTTGCACTTTCTCTGATGACCTCCGCCGAAGTCCCACATCTTTGTACTGGCCCATTCTGTGGGCTGGAGTAGCCTATTTTAGTTCTAGCTCCATAGACATCTTTACTTGGCTCCTTTACCTCAATGAGATGGTGTCAGTCATGTTCCCTGTTGCGTCACCAGCATCTAACACAACTCCTAGCACACCAGACAGGCTCAGTAAACATTTGTTGTATGAATACACTGTTTTCAGGGATTATTACTTAGTGTTCATCAAGAAGGGACAGGAGACTTTAAATAGCTGCTTCTTTAACTACCGTGACTGCATTTCTACTATCTACTCATCCAGTGAAGTACTTTATCTTTAGTGCAAACATTGTGTGCTTATTTCTTTAAAAAAATAATTATTATTATTGTTTTGCAGTTTTTGGCAGGGCCAGGTTTGAACCCGCCACCTCTGGTATGTGGGGCAGATGCCCTAAACCTTTGAGCCACAGGCATTGCCCAAAACATAATTATTTTTAATGACAAATGTAAATTGTATACATTTATGGTGCACAATATTATGTTTTGAAATAATCTGCTTCTTCACATTTCTCTTTTTTTTCCTTGAGACCGAGCCTCAAGCTGTCAACCCTGGGTAGAGTGCTGTGGCATCACAGCTCATAGCAACCTCTAACTACAGGGCTTAAGTGATTTTCTTGCCTCAGTCTCCCAGGTAGCTGGGACTACAGGCGCCCGCCACAATGCCCGGCCATTTTTGGTTGTAGTTGTCATTGTTGTTTGGCAGGCCTGGGCCGGATTTGAACCCGCCAGCTCTGGTGTATGTGGCTGGCACCTTAGCTGCATGAGCTATAGGCACTGAGCCTAAATAATCTGCTTCTTAATAGGTGTGTGGCTTTGGACAAGTTTCTTAATCACTCTGAACTTCAGTTTCTTGTAAACTAGGTATGAGAAGATTATTTCTCTTATAGGATAAGAGGATGAAGGTTAAATGAGATGTTTCTACTGTCTGGAACCCCCACCCTCTGCCCCCAGATCATCACAGGACTGGCTCCTTCTTCACTTTCAAGACTCAGTTCAAATGACAAGTTCTGAGAGGCTTTCCCTAACTACTCTGGCCACTCCTCTAGTTTCTCTCAAATCACTTTAAGTTCTCTATACCATTTGTTACTATCTGAATTATTGTTTTGGAGACAAGTTCTTGCTATGTGGCTCAGGCTAGAGTACAGTGACATACTCATAGCTCACAGAAACCTCAAACTCCTGAGCTCAAGCGATCATCCTGCCTCAGTCTTCGGAGTAGCTAAGACTACAGGTGTGCACTGCCATATCTGTCTAATTTTCTGCATTTTGTAGAGATGGGGTTTTGCTCTTGCTCAGGTTGGTCTTGAACTCTCAGCCTTGAGTGATCCTCCCATCTCAGCCACCTGAAGTGCTGGGTTACAGATCTGAGCCACTGTGCCCAACCTGTTGCTATCTGAATTTATCTTTGCATATATATACACACATATATATGTATAAGCTGTGTGATCTCAATTCCTCTGAGTCCCTTTCTTTTCATTGCCATGTATTCTGTGCCTAGAGCAGTGCCTGGCATGTGGTAGCACTGTGCAATAAATATCTGTTGAACAATTCACTTATTCTCACCCGTGCAAGCCTTTGAGAAAGCTAATACACAGCTAAACTTTGGTGAAAATCTTATCATATATGTTGCGGGAAAAAACTCCTTTCAAAATCTATCAGTCTGTGACTAAAGTTTAATATGGAGCTCTTGACCCCAGGAACTTACCGTGTAACCAGTGGGATGTGATCTGAACGCTTCTTAGAACCATTCATTGGTGGTTCCTAAATCATTAGTGCAACCTATGCTTTCCACGGATGGAAAGTGTTACAGCTGTAAATTAAGGAAGTATGTAGCCAAGGGCTAAGGGTAAGTGAAATGAGGATACAGATGGAGAGATTCAGTTAGGGAAGGTATTCTTGGAGGACCTTAAAGGAAGAGAAGTTATCCTAGAGAGAAGAGACCAGGTGCTTAATGTTTGCAAGCCATTTAGAACAGTGCCTGGGTCATAGTAAAACTAGATGTGTGTTTATTTTTAAAAGATGCCCAATTCATAATTTTATGCTTTTAGAACTTTATTTTTTTTCAGTAGAAAAGGATACAAAAATATAAAGAAACTTTATTTACTAAGTTTCCAAGGAGTTCCCTTTCTCAAAAGCACTCAGAAGAAGGCCACAATAGCACTATCTGTCTGCTACTTGTGAATACTACATTACTAATTATAGAAATACCATCTTCAGATGACCCCAAACCTGGAGATCACATGGGGCCAATCAGATCATCTGAGCGCAGAGACCAATCCTCAGGAGCATCAATAAAATAAATTGACTGTGTAGGACAGGCCCCTGCTTGGTGCCCGGCGGCCTGGGCTTGAGCTTGAGCTTCTTCATTGAAGACACAAGGTGGACAATCACAGACGGGCCTTTGGCTGGGTGGTGACAAGCTGAACACCTCGTAGCATGTCTCATCATTCTGGGCTGCAGTGCCACTCCTTCTGGGTACTGTCAGGGAGCAGGGTTTGGTGAGCCATGGGGACTGCTGAGGGGCAATGCATGACACTGGGATCACATATCTAGATGACGTGCCCTTGGAAGAATAGTGCATCTCAGAGCTGTAGATAACCATGCCCTGGGGGACAGCCTTGGCCCTGATGCCACATTCACTAACTCGGTAGGTGAATTGGTAGGCATGTGGCCGGACATGGTTGGCAGGGCAACCCAGGCCCAAGTGCAGCTCATGAAAGTGTACGTAGACATCGTTGTTCAACATGAAGGGGTGCACTGTGACCATGAACCAGTCTATGGAGCACAGCACAGTCATTGGATTTTGTCCAGAACAGGCTGGAAACATGGTGAGGAGGAACATCGCTCCCATCAACTCGGACACTTTCATCCTTGCAGCCATTCAGGTGACAACCCACAGGGAAGAGCAAGTTGGCCGGTGAGGATTTCTAGAGCACACAAAAACACAAGAGGCCAGGTATCTTATTTTGTATCAAAAGTTCAAACACGATCTTTTTCTTTGTAAGCAAAAGGCTCTTCCTAAGGCATTAAGAGAACAAAGCATTTGTGTGAGAGAGAACTAAATTGTAATACCATTGTTGGAACTCATGTGTCTTAGGGACGACTAGAATGGCTTCTTTAAGCGACTTAACCCTGCTGTTCTGGTATAAAATACATATCCCTCCTATGTAGGATGATAATCAATACTGCTCAGGAAAGTGGCATCCCTTTGTGTTTCACTCTAAGACAAAATCAAAACAGAACACTTTTTGTGTCAAATATTTAATAAGGAGATAGAAGACACAGCTTCAAGCAACATTTCCTTCTTTTACAACAGGCCCCAGTGGCCTCACATAGATCATACGATTTATCTCCTTATCACCCTTTCAGTTACCAACAGATTTGATTAAATAAACATCTAACAAGGAATTGTGATCTTCTCTTAACAACCAAATATTGAAATTTTGATGAGTGGTTTGCGTATTACAGTAATCAAACGAATGCTGCATAAACTCCAGTAGTAGCATTGCAAGTCATCATGGCCAATAGATCCCCAATATTTATCGAGATGCCTTATAAAATACTGAAATTGCCAAAACATAGAAACATGCTGGTTTATATAATTCTACCTTTTTAATGCATACTATACATGAAAACGACTTAAAAGTCCTTTCCTAAGAAAGGGAGTGTTAGGTTTGCACTTCACACATCAATTGACAAGGTATTTCCAAAGATCTCTGCCACGACAGTTTAACTATAGGTTCAAGTGTGCTGTGAGATAAAGATGGTCGAAAACACTGCTCTAGACCCTTATTCTTTTTTTTTTTTTT